CCCCACGGGTGACGGGATGTTTCTTCCGCTGAAACCCCTACGTGTCAGAGGCTGCAGGAAGAGCAGATTTTTCTCTAAAAGCACAAAGCCCTGAGGCATGAAGTGGATAATTTTTAGATTAGGGATGATAATGGAGCGGCTCTTTAAATATTTTCCTGCGGTAATTACTGGTTATCAGCCCTAATCGCTGCTGTTTGCGGCAGCCGCACGATGGGAACGCTCAGGAACTGCTCAGCCTTTCCTGGTTGCCGTTGGGTTTTTTTCTTGGTTTGTTGTTTGAGTTTTTTTTAAAATGTTTTTTTTCCTCCTTTCTCTCTTTGCCCGCCCCTGGTAGTTTCAGATGGGGAGGGGGGACTTGGGGGTTCACAGGCAGCACTGACCAAGCCCCCTCCTCCCTCCTGCCCGGACACTGATGGGTTATGCGTTTCTGCCTCAGGAGAAGCGCTCGTGAGATTCGGTGCAGGACCCCCCCCGGGCACACCCCCGGCGGCTCTCCCATCCTCATCAACATCAACCGGGCCGAGCTGAGCAACCCAGAGGTGAAGTACAACTACACAGAGGACCCCACCATCCAGAAGATCGATCCTGAATGGAGCATCAACAGGTGAATAGTGGGGTGCCCACAGAGAGCTTGCGGGTTGCACGGAGGGGCTCTTTTCTGCATGGATCCCCCCTCATCCTGACGGGTACATCTGAGTGCTGCTGCAATAGCTGCCGGGCCACGCTCCAGAGACATGGCGAGAGGAGTATGAGCAATGGCTTGGCACCAGGGCCCTGCTAACTCCTGGCTTGCAGTGCTCAGCCTGGCAGGGGGCAAAAGCGGAGAGCGCTTTGGATCTGCTTAATTTCAGCTTGACATTTGGCGGCGGCAAATAAAATTAAAATATTTCCCACCGGGGGATTTTTTTGAAATGTTTACATATTTTTCTAAAAGGTTTCAATTGGCTGGAGAGGAGGCGAAGGAATCCATTAAGACCGAGCGCCAAGGGAAACCTTCCCCAGGGTGCTGATGAGGAGCAAGCTCCCCAGGGGCATGGCCGAGCTCTCCGGGACTGTGGGGTTTTTAACACCAAGCTGCAGAGAAAGCATGGCAGGGCTCAGCCTGCCCTGCCACCCGCTGTCAATATGGTGGAGAAGGGAGTGGCAGAGAGGACCTCTTCCTCCTTGGGATGCTTTCCCATTGTGGATGCCTGGTCTCTTTTAGTTTAGGATCTGCCTTAAGACCCCAAACGTGGACACGAGGTGGACTGTTAGTATTAATTAGCAGGTTTTATATCTTGGATGGCCCCTGGGTCAACTGAGATGATTTAACAGTGGTGAATGTCAGGTCCTTCCAGCCATGATGACATCTAGGTGGGATGAGAGGTCTCTGGGATGTTGTGGTTCACCCAGGATGGGGCAGATGGGCATCTGGCTGGTGAGGATGGATGCTTCCCTCCCAGAAGTGGGGACCCAATGCCAAGTTGCCTTTCCTAACCCGTTATCCCCATGTCTCTAGTGGTGGGACGCTGCTGACCGTGACTGGCACCAACCTGGCCACCATCAAAGAGCCCAGGATCCGGGCAAAGTATTGCAGCTCTGAAAGGGAGAATGTAAGTGGTGCTGGTGGGGGATGGAGGCAGATCATAAAAAGGAGGGATGCCATCCCTCTGTAACACAGGGCACACAGCTTATCACTTGCCCATCAGGTGTCATGGTGTTTAAGGGCTGAGGTCTAAGGACTGCCACCTAGAGAGACACGCTGGTGTCCCTGCAGAGCCTCTGGCCAGGTGCTGCCAGAAGAGGGTTGAAATCTGGGCAGGCAAGCTGATGGGAGGTTTGTTGCGGGATGTCTGCAGGACAGTGACAGAAAGAGCCTGTCCCCAGCGAGCTCCCACCTCTCGCACGTCCATTGCAGACAGGAGCCTCTCTCTGCCCTGGGGCAGGATATGGCACCTATTGATGTAACAGCATAGAACAGGAGATCCCACGTTTAAATGCTGTGTCCAGAGCCACTGCTTGCAGGAGTGGCTCTCATCCTGAGCTGTGGGGTCTGATCCTGAGCTGCCTGTTGAGAGCTGGGTCTCACCTTGGTCCATGCCTCCTGCAGAACTGCACCGTCTACAATGACACCACCATGGTGTGCTACGCGCCCTCCATCGACAACCCCGTGCGAAGTCCTCCAGAGGTCGGCGACCGCCCAGATGAGATCGGCTTCGTCATGGATAACGTCCAGGCCCTGCTGATCATCAACACCACCAACTTCGTCTATTACCCAGACCCTGTCTTCGAGCCTCTCAGCCCCACAGGGATGCTGGAGCTGAAGCCGAGCTCTCCCCTCATCCTCAAGGTAAGGCACCGTCTGCCCAGGGGCAGAGCGGTGGAAACGAGTCCCTTTGTGGAGGTGGCTTTTTGACTCTCAGGGACAAAGTTTTGCACTCAAGAGCATGAATTTGCTGTGTGCTGGGTTTTTTTTTAAGCGTTGCTTGTTGTAAGAGAACTGACAATGTTGTTCCTTGTTCCCTCAAAGGGCAGGAACCTGCTCCCGCCAGCTGCTGGAAACTCCCGCCTGAACTACACGGTGCTGATCGGAGACACTCCCTGCACCCTGACCGTCTCTGAGACCCAGCTCCTTTGCGAGTCCCCCAACCTCACTGGCCAGCACAAAGTCACGGTAAATGCTGACGTTGGTGTCTTTGCTTCTCATGTCCCACGTGTCACAGGGGTTCAGGCTTTATCCCAACACCGACCCTGCTCCCTGGTCATCCTTGGATGAGGACTGGATGGTTGGGGCACATGCAGGAGCATCCTCAGGAGTTGTCTTTCTGCTCCTTGGGCATCACTCTCCCTAATGACATGTTTGGTAGGGCCCTCTCCGGCATGCTCAGCTGTGCATTCCTGTGCCCTGGGTGGCCCTGGCTGGCCCTGCCAACAATCTCCTTTCCCTGCTGGGTGCCAAGGCCCAGCCTCTGCCAAGGAGGGGGGTTTCCACCCCTTCCCCCTGGTGCTGGCTCACGCTGTAAGGAAGGCTCCTTTGTTTTTGGGTTGTAGTGCAACAGTGCTTGCGCTTCAAGACCCTGCCAGGTTGAAAGGGACCCAGCACGGTCTCCCCCAGGCTTCCCACCCGTGGGGGAACTCGCTTCACATCCCATCTGTTACTGTAATGTTGTCTGAATGAGACATCAAACTCTTGACTGCTCTGTGCACGTGTTGGCAGCGTGTGTCCTGCATCCCATTAAAGCATGCCATGTTGCTCTGGAGCAGCTCCTGCCATCCCTCTCTTTCTGCATCCTTCCTTGTCCAGGCTGGGAGTCATCCCCCAGTTCCCAGCACAGTGGGCATAGTGGGGAGGGCTGCCCTGGGTGCATAACCCCTGACACCAGGTCTGTTTTTCTCCCCCACTGTGGTGCAGATCAAGGCTGGAGGATTTGAGTTCTCCCCAGGAACGCTGCAGATCTACTCAGACAGCCTGCTCACCCTGCCTGCCATCATCGGGATTGGTGGTGGCGGCGGTCTGCTCCTCCTCATCATCATCATCGTCCTCATCGCCTACAAGCGCAAGTCTCGGGATGCCGACCGGACCCTGAAACGCCTCCAGCTGCAGATGGACAACCTGGAGTCCCGAGTGGCCCTGGAGTGCAAAGAGGGTGAGGGATCCTTGTGTCATTAATGGGAGGTCCTAGAGGGTCTCATACCGTCCTGAGGCTCAGTATGCTCCCTCTCTTTCCTCGCTGTCTTCGAGAGAGGGAATGGGAACGGGCAAAGTTCTTTCGCTTCAGAGGAAGCAAACTCATTTTGGGTTGGGATTTGGGGATTTTTCCTGTTAAAAATTTTCACTCTGTTTCTCCAGACGGGAGAAAAAAGAGTGAGGAGGGTAGCAAGGGCTGCCTGTGAGCAGGCAGTCAGTCTCTCATTATGTGACAGACGGATGCTGTGAAATTGGACAGAATTCCTTGTATGATTCTGCTGATAAAATCTAATTGCCCATTATCCCCCTGAGCTGGATCCTGAGGCCCCGACCCGGCCAGCCACAACCAGCCTCAGCACTGAGGATGGAGCAGGCACCAAAACCAAAATATTAAAAGGGGGAAAGAAAGAAAGAAAAACCCCTTGCTCCCCGAAATCCCCATCCTTACGCATGCCTGCGGATGGCACTGGTGACAGGGAGAGGGGAGGGAGCTGGTGGAGAGCTTGGTGTCTTGTCTTCCACAGCTGGCAGATAAAAGGATCTGCTTTTAATTAAAAGGCACAATCTCTTCCCTGCCTTTTCTCTTTTCTAGTCCCACTAGTTACAGATAAGATAGCACGCCTTTCAAGCTGATGGTTTGTTTTTTCTCATCAGGCTGACGAGCATGCAGTCCTCTGCCTGGCTTTCAGCTCTCTTTAAAGTGCTGTTAATTTGATTTTTCTGAGGATTTTCTGCCCCCACCCCCAACCCCTTTCCCTGGTGCATCTCCAGGACTCCTCTCCCGTCAGCTTTTCCCTGTAGGTGCAATTAAAGGTTCAGGAGCCCCCTGCATTGTGTTCCCCTGGGAACCGTGGCTGCCTCTGCTCGGATCGGGAGGTGCCGGGGTGGGTGTGTTCAAGCTCTTCTCTCGAATAGTATTTAGGTCAAAAAGAAATGAGGACATTCTTGTGGTTTAGGCTAACGATTTCCCCCAGAAGCTCTGGCTTTGTTCAAGCCTTGCTGTTCCTCTCTGCTTCCAGCATCCTTGGGAGGCTGCAAGTGCTGAGCAGGGGGCATTTGAGCCCCTGGGACCTGATGGTCCTGTTCCTGAATCTACCACTTGATTTATTCTGGGGAAGTCATCCCCACCCTCCACAGCTCGGTTTCTCCATCTGTGTGATGGGGACAGCTGCCACAGCCTGCTGGGGGCAGGGATGTGGAGCCATCTCATGCCTGGGAAGGCCCACCCATGAGGTGCTGGGGGGTGCAAGAGAGGCTGGAACTCTGGAGTATGTTGCTTAATTTTGCTTTTCCCACCCTAGCCTTCGCTGAGCTGCAGACTGACATTAATGAGCTGACCAATGACCTGGATGGGGCTGGCATCCCGTTTCTGGATTATCGTACCTACGCCATGCGGGTTCTCTTCCCGGGAATAGAAGACCACCCCGTGCTGAAGGAGATGGAGGTGTGGTTCTGTCTGTCTGTCTCTGTAGTGCTTCGCGCTGGGGTAGTGCCCCTGCCCGAGTCCCTGTGCCCAGGCGTAGGGCTGGAGAGATGCTTTGGTCAGATGCTGGCGCTGATTTGCTGAGCGTCTCGCTGCGTGGCAGCCAACACGAATACAGACCGGCTGCTGAGTGGTTACTGCACTCTCTGACATTAATATCAATATTTATATTAATATCATTGCTGCTGTCATTTTCTACAGCACTTGCTTTATTCAATTGGGTTTGTTTGATGCCTGACCGGCCGCTTGTTTCTAGCAGGCTTGTCCGACATCGCCTGCTTACTTGGCTCTGTTTCCCCATGCAGAATCCATGCTTGGCATCCTTCTCCTGCTCCCCAAACCAGCTCCCTCTCCTCTCCCGGCCTCCCCACGTCTGTTTAATTTAGTGCGTGCGTTTGCACAGCAATTGGCTTCTCGTTTGCTGGGCTGCCGAGGCCATTCTTGATTAAAGAAAGGAGGGGGGTGACCTTAGCTTCCCCTCACTGCTGACCCGGCACAGTAATTAATGTTGAAGTGGGCTTCACAATGTATTTAGGAGAAGTAATTGGCCCTGGTGCAAGATGCGTGGTCACTAATTACAACACAACAAGCTCTTACCAACTGGGAGTGCACGTGCTGGTGTTGTACGGCAGCATGGCTACAGCGCGGGGCCCTGGCCCCCTGCCTGCTCCTGGTCCCTAATCTCAGCTCCCAAGGGTGAGGGTGGTGGGGACCCCGTTTCCATGGATTTCCCGTTGCAGCTCAGGTTTCCGGATGCTTGGAGCCGAAGCAGGCAAGAGTAGCCCTCCCTGGGGCACAGCCCTTCCTGTCTGTGCAAACGCCTGGCTCTCCTCTGCTCTTGCTCTTAAGGATTTTTCCTAAAGAGGGACAGATGGAAAGGGTATCAAAAAGGGTATCAGAGGAGGAATTTTGCACTGGCCAGGGCAGGCTGGGTGAGAATTTGCTTGCTTCCAGCTCCTAGTTCAAAACATCCTGCTTGAGAGAGCAGAGCAGCTCAGCCTGGTCTGGGAAAGAAGGAGTTAAAGTTGCAAAGGAGTAAAAAAAAAAATAAAAAAAAATCCCCAAAAGAGATTAAATAAAGCAACTACAGTTGTGTAAGCTTCATATAATTTAATCAGGTTTGCTTTTATTTGTCTCTTTACTCAGAGTGTAGCATTAGCTATTGCAAGTGACGGGAAGGAAACGGCACTTGCTCAGGCAAACGCTAATCCACAGCCAGCATCAGGCTGTCGGTACCAGCTCCCTTTCTCTTTAGCTTTTGGTGGGGAGGTTTGTTGCTTTGTGGGAATTTAAGCCTGATTAAATAGTTAATTCAGTATTGTTCATTTATTTCTGCTAATGATCAGCAAGTTAAGCACGACGGGGTGCAGGGAGGTGACAGGCACGTGGGGGGCTCAGGCATTGTCGTACTCCTTGTGAATGGGGGTTTCACGTCCTTCCATGCTCCCTGTGGGGTGGTCACTGTTGGGCAGGACCCATTTCCCATCTTATCAAGATCCTGCTACTCTGCTGAAGGGAGAAAGCCCCTCTTCCCGTGGTCTCCTTTGCCTGGTCTTGACTGCACAAGCACCAGCAATGTGCAGGGGTAGCAGTGCAGGACATCTCCTCCTGCCCCAGTTTTACTGGTCAGTCTGGTAGGTTTTCAGAGCTGACTCTGTGCTCCAACCTGCTCTGAGATCTTCCCGTGATGAGGCATCCATTGGCATAGCTGCATCCCCATAGGGAGCCGCTGATACTCCCAGAGGAGTCAGCTGAGGCTGCGGAACCTCCGGCACCTGCCTGAGTTACCAGCAGCATTGCATCGAGATCCCTGCGTAGTTGGGAGGGAGGGACTCTGGGAACACGTAATTTAAAGCATTTCTGTTCCGAGCAGAACGTTATCCTCTGACCTGCATTAAGGGAAGCTGAGCCATGTGCTTGCTCATACAGTGCCAGTGAGAGGAACCCTGAGGATGGGAGCAGAGAGGGTTTGTCACTCCTCCATTGCCCTTCTGGGCTGCACTGGGGCAGATGTCCCCACTTGCTCAGGTGATGAGGGTGACAGTGGCACCTAGGGCTTGTATCACAGAATTAGGTAGACTGGGTGGGAAATGGGGTTTTTGTGCAGCAGGAAAGAATATTTTGGAGGGGGAAGTTACAGCCGTGAGGAATTTCGCTAAAGAGCGCCAATCCAAAGTTTTGATTGAAGTGAAATGATTTGGTATGTCAAAACCCTGTTCTTCATTTTGAGTTGGTGTTTTGAAATGAAAAGTGTTGTTTTGTCTCCAAATATCGACATGAACTGAAATTTTTCACTTATTCTCCCAATCAGGAAGACAAGGGAAAAAAATAATTTAAATTGACGTTTTACCACAGTAAGGCTTTTATTCAGAGGAAACCGTCTTTTCTAATGGGAAAATGCTGTGTTGTAAAAACATTCATTTCTGCTAAGAAATGTGGTCAGGGCTGACCAGAGCTGGCCTGACAGTGGCAGTGCAGGGATGAAAGCATCTCAGCCCAATCGCTGCAGGGTCCTGTGTGGACAAATATGTCCAAAAATTCACCTTCCAACATTGCAAGAGGAGAGAGAATATTTCAGGCTGTCTGGGACGGGGCAGAGACAGGTTTCTGCTGTTCGCTACCCTGTCTCAAATCCAGCCTGTCAAAACCAGGTGGGTTTGCTGCTGGCAGAGCTTGGGGTTGTGGCTTTATTTGCTTTCTGTGCAATACCCAAAGCACATGTTGCAGCGACTTGGGCGGGAATTGAGCTGCTTGTTATCTGAAATTGAAAATTTTAATTTGTGTGCGTCTTTGGGAGAGAAAGTGTGTTTGTTCATGGGAGGAGAGCGCATGTTTGTGCTTGCACATGTGTGGGAGAAAGTCTTTGTATGGAAGCGAGTGTGTATGTGTGTGTATACACTGATGCCCTGAGACTGTGTTAACCTGATGCTGAGATACTACAAACTAGATAATACTTCTGGAGGAAACTGAGGCTGATCACCCAACAGGAAGCTTGGTAGTATGGAGAGAGCAAATCCAGCTGCTTTTTGTCCCTTTCTCATTCTTTCTTCTTGGGGGATGAGGGTGAATCCAGGGTCTTGTGCAGCCCAGCCACCTTATTCTCATTGCCCTCTCCCTTGTGCCTGTCTCCCAGCTTTGCTCTATCCTTGCAGGTCCAGGCGAATGTGGAGAAGTCCTTGACGCTCTTTGGGCAGCTCCTGAACAAGAAGCACTTCTTGCTGACCTTCATCCGCACTCTGGAGGCTCAGCGGAGCTTCTCCATGCGGGACCGCGGCAACGTGGCCTCCCTCATCATGACGGCGCTGCAGGGCGAGATGGAGTATGCCACGGGTGTGCTGAAGCAGCTCCTCTCCGACCTCATCGAGAAGAACCTGGAGAGTAAGAACCACCCCAAGCTGCTTTTGCGAAGGTGAGTGACCATCTGAGAAGCTGGAGCTGTGGAACAGTGGAACAGGCTGTTCTGAGTGTGTGGATACAACGCTTCAGAGATGCCATCAGTGGTGGCTTTGGTGTTGGCTGTGGCACTGTGAGCACTGGGCCTGTGGTTAGGCATTTCCTTACCTGTCTGCACACAAGTACGAGAGGGACCAGCTAGACCCAACCAACTCTGGAGTTCCCCGTGGGATGTTCTTGCTCGGGTTCAGCCTGTGCGGATTGATGTTGTCTGAGAAGAAGGGTGCAAGGTCCTTGGCAGCTGCTGGCTGTGTAGGCTGGTGCAGGGCGGGTGCATGCTGGTGTCGAGCGCTGTTGCATATCACTGCAGCGATGCTCCCACCTGCCTTCCCTTCTCCAGGCGACTGGGCAGTCCCTGCCACCTCTCAGCACGTGGGGCAGGTCTTGCCTTGCTGCATGGGTGCATCTGTGGGCCGGCAGCAGGCAGGAGTTCTCCTTTCCCTGCTGCCTCCTCGGGGCTTGCCCACCTTGCTGGGCACATGGGCTTTTTTTCCTGGGAAAGCCAAGTGGATCTTTGCGGGCTGGGAGTCTTGCCGGGGCTGGAGGGGAGCGTGAGCAGGAGGCAGCCTGCCAAACCCTGCCATGAGTCTGCCTGGCCCATCAATATTTAACGATAGCTCTGAGCTCTCCTTCATCACGGGCTGATGAATATTGAAAGATACACCAAGTGCTGAACAAAAACAATTAATAAGCAACACCAGCCTAGCTCGAGGCCCTCTGTGCTGTCTTCTCCCTTCGCACACTGTGCTGTGCCTCCTCACCTCCGCCAGCCCGGTCTCACCAGCCTCCAGTGGAGATGCAGGGATGGCTGAGAACGACAGGACTAGCATGTCACCAGAGGCTTGAGAAAACCAGAGTGTCTCTCAGACATCAGCCAATGCTCATGGCATGGCCAGACCGGACAAAGCCTGTCAGGTTTTGTGTGCCTGGCCCTGGGCAGATGCCTGGAGAAGGCGGAGATGTGAGCTGGTCCCAGTTACATCCCTGCTACCTTCCCTCAGCCATTGCTTTCTTACTCTCTCTGTTTTATATTTATCACGTTACAAGGGTGCCCTTAGTTTCTCAAAGCACCTTGTTAGCAATGTGCCAGAGAGGGGCTGTGGTGCAGACCTGTGGCTGGCTGGGAGCTGGGAGAGGGCCGGGTCTTGGAGGTGCTGACCCTTGCCCCCTATCCCTGTTCCCTGAGCGCATCTTTAGGTTCTTCCTTTCTTACTGTCCTTCCATGACATCAGACTTCACTGAAATATTTAAACTGTGTTTCCAGCTCTTAGTTCTCTCAGAGCATCACGAAGTTGCTACCATCATAGCAAAACTCCAGAATGAAGTAGATCAATAAAATATAAATAAAAGGCAGTGCGGGGAGGCCAGCACCTGCAGTGACTGAGCCATGGGAATGGCACAGGGGCAGAGCCCAGCCTGAGGACTGTGGGTGCCCAGCAGCAGAGCTCAAGGGCCCATCACAGGTGGAGCTGCAGGAGGCTGAGGAAGAAGGCTGAGGACAGTACCCTGGCAGGTACTTGTGCCTCTCCGAGTCATATTTAACAAAGAAACTTTATTCTTCCCACAGCCACAGCGCGGAGCGAATGGTGCTGAGGACTGTGCTTCTCTCTCCTTTTGATTAGCCCTGCTGTTGGGCGTGAGAGTGTGCTTACCGCCCAGGGCAACTGGATTAGCATTGATCTAACTGGGGAGAGCTGTTATTTATTTTGTTACTGGATAATCCTCCCGCGGCTGTGGCATCTGGCTCTATCTCAGATAAAGACAAACATCCGCCGGTGCCTGCGTAGTGGCACTTCAGATGAGTGTTGCAGGCTTGTCAGCAAAGGACCTGGTCTGGGGCTGAGGAGGATACCTGCTGAATAGCTTCAGTCCACCCCTCCCTTGGCTTTCTCCCCGTCTTCCTTCTCTCTTTTTTTTCTTCCTCTTGATAGGTTAATCTTTCTCGAGGGTGTAGGAAGGCTTTCCTCCCCAGGAGGCTCAGGTATTGCCTTCCTGTAATGCTTTAAGGAGGGCTCTGCTGTTCCAGGGAGGGCAAAAAGGACTAAGCCCTATTAGCATGAGAGAAAGGCTTGGAAGGGGCCATACGACCCTGAGTCAGCTTGAATAAACTCTGGGAAAGTAGATTTCCCTACCCCAACCATCTGGCTGTTGGGAGCTGCTGCTGGCCCATCTGCCAGGCACAGCATTGCCGTTGGGCAGTGGGTCTCCTTCTGGGGGCTCTGAGGTTCGGGTTCCTTCTGGGTTTTTCTTCTTAAGTCAATCCGTTTGTATCCATTCCCCTGGTGCAACAGGAATGCAGCCGCGTCCCTGAGGTTATTAGTATTGCTTGTGTTTTCAGGAGCATCTGCGTTTGCAAGTGGCTGATCTGATGATTAATGGGTGGATAAGCTGAAGAAGCCAAACCGGAGAGATTTGAGGGGCTGGCTGGCATTTTTACTTTAAAGGGAGTGAAAGCCACTTTAAAAATAATGGATGTGTTAAGGAGAATTTTAATCTTATGGCAGCAAGACCAGGCTGTGGTGCAGACAGGTGCATTAAGGTGCCATTGTAGGGCTGCACGATTCACCTGGCTCCTGTGTCACCCTCAGCCCCCTCCACGCCAGGCTGTCCCTCTCCTCTGCTGGTATGGCATGTGCTGGCTGCAATACCAACCCCTTGGTGTCCTCACGTCCTGTTTGGAGCCGTCGCATCTCACACCCGTCCTTTGGGATCCTGTGCAGTGATGGTCCCAAACGAACACAGGCTACTCCTCTGGTCCTTCCCTGCCATGCTGCTTTGGGGCATGATGGCATCTGGATTTGAACTGTAATTTAGGAAACTAGGGGCAAGGTATACATTTTCTCAACATTTGGCTGCTTCCTTCAGCTGCATCTCCAGAAGCTGAGCAGCACAGCTCCGTTTTTAAACTCCTTTTGGAGCAGGTAGTTGCAGCATTGTTCACTACGAACTCCTGCATCACCACCCCACTCTGAGGAGACATGCAAGGACCTGGGATTTCCACCGTGCAGACAGGGAAGGGTTAAATCCCAAGCCTGGCACAGTGTCTGTGCACAGTGCTCCAAAAGTACGTGGAAAACAGCTTAAGCTTCCAGCCTTTGCTCTTACTCCTTCCTTCTCTAATCCCCTTGTTTTCATCTGGATTAGTACTGGGGATAAGTTTGACCCAAACCATATTGGGATCAAAGTCTCCAGACCTAAATCCAGGGGTGGCTTTAACTAATGCCACGTGCCAGTGGAGTGGTGCCCTCTCTGCATTGCAGGGCTCTGCATCCCTGCCCGAGAGCCACCCATATCCATGGAGAGAAGTGAGAGTGCACAACTTGGCCTCCTGAAGCTTCACTCTCACCACTGCTGAATGCCAAGAACCACGTCCTCTCCTCCAGCAGTTCTGAGCAGCCCTTGCACAGCCTGCTGGGGAAAACTCTTTATCCCTCCCATATTGGTGGTGATTCTCCTCTCGCTCTGCTGTGTGTCCTGGGCTTGGAGGCTGTAGAGATGAAGGGCTGCTTTGGGGGTTGCAGAAAAGTCCCATGTCACCCTATAATGGTGGGCCTGTATCAGGGCAATAGCAGTGCTAAGTGCATTGCAGGAGCAGCTCCCAGGTGGGCACAGGGGCTTCCAGCTAGGTCAGGCTCTCAGTGATGTAGGGCGGGGAGATGCTCCTGTCATGGAAATTTGAGTGAGGATCTGACTTTGCCTTGCAACCTCAGCTCTTCCCTTCAGGCTGTGCTTTAGCTGGGGAGCTTGAAGTAGGTTTGATGACATTTAACCTGGCTTAGGTGTGTTACACAACCTTCCTGTGGAGGGAGCTGCCTGGTTCCAGTGGGACATGGTGGAAGAAAAAAACTTCACTGAAGTAGAAGGTACCATGGAGATGCAGAAAGCTGGTCATCCCCTGGGCAAGACTCCCCATGGGACAACGTCGTGCTCGACGCTCTCCAGTTCTCCAGATACGCTGGGGACCAATTTGCTGCTGTGGCTCAGTTTTGCAGCTTTCCACTAGGGCTTTTGCTGTCTGCTTGTGCCCCTTTGCTCCAAGGCTTCTGCCTTTTCAGATGTGGCCTTTTAGAGCCAAAAGTAATTTAGCCACAGTCCAAGGCTGTGGTGACAACGGGTGACATCAGAGACCTTTAATATCTTCTGCTGATGGCTTTGCTCTCTGCCTTCCCTACAGAACAGAGTCGGTGGCCGAGAAGATGCTGACGAATTGGTTCACATTTTTGCTGTACAAGTTTCTGAAGGTGAGTTTGGGAAGGGATGGCAGCCCTACATGGGCAGGGAGGTGGTTCCTGCATCACTGGGACGGGCAGTGGTCTACCCAAACTACCACAGGCTGATGTGCCCCTGAGTGCTGCTGCTCCCTCTTGGAGGGGAGATTGCTTTCCAGGCCTCTGTTCCCATCCTTGGTTTCTGAGATGTGATTAGTGATTGTAGGTTTCCTTTTGGGGAAATAGCTGAGACTGAGAAATGAAATTCAGACTGGGATTGCTTAATGCATAGTGGGTTTGAGATATGCTTAAAAATGGTGCCTGGAGAAAGGATAAATCTGAAGCAATTGAACTGAGTCTTGGATCCCTTCTGAGTGGTCCTTATCCCTCCTCCTTGCTTTTGGTTGTGTTACTTGAGAGGAAAAAGCCTGAAGAGCTGGTCCTTCTGTAGACGTGATCATGATCGGAGGATGTTTCTGCCTGTCTGAGCCGTAGTTTGATGTGCTGCACTCTTCATGTAATGCTGCTGCTTTGCCTTCATCTCTCTGACACTGATGCTCCCTAGTAGGGGAGTTACTTCCCCCAGACATCTCCACGCTGCTGCATCCCCTCCAAAGGATACTCCGGTGGGGATGGACACCCCGTGGGGACTGTTGGCAGCTGGGGGCACAGCTCTCTGCACCAGTTGTGCATAAGGGTGCAGAGCTCATTAGCTTGAATTTGCCTTTTTCCCAAATGCGTCAGGTTAGCAGGTTCAGCTGCTGCTTCGGGACAGCTGGGTGAATGACGCCGGCAGTCCCACCGCTGCTGTGTCAGTCAGCAGAGCTTTTTCTTGGGATCCTGCCTGGCGTCAGTGCAGCAAGGCTGGGTGGCACGCAGCCGTTTTTGTGGGATTTCATCCCTCATTAAGACAAAGAAGGTTTGAACCATTTCCAGCCAAGAGATGAGAGTGAGCAGGAATCTGTGCAGAACTCAAGCGATCATCAACGAGAGGTGATTTATAATATCACTTACATGCACTTGGCTTTTTGCCTCCGTCGAGGAATAGCCTGTATCTATAAAAATCTAGCTGTAGTGTACAATGGAGATTGCTTTCCAGGGGTGGGAGAGGAGAGAAGCTATGCTGGTCACGGGGAGATGTTAAGCCTCCTGACACCTCTTTGTGCCAGGATTTTGCTCAGCAGGGCTGCCCTGCAGTGGCAGTGCTTGGTGGAATCAGGTGGGACGCTGGCAGATGGCTCTTTGGACTCTGTGGGGTCAGTGGGACAGGCACTCGCTCCTCAGGACTCCCTGAAGTGGACAAAGTTGTGTTTTGGCCGAGCAAAGCGCAGTGCACAGCCTTGGGGTGCTCATGTCAGTGTCTGGGGACATTGCATTTGTGTGCATCGCTTGATGCCCTTGGCCTGTCCCTGCCTGGGCTGGGCCATATATGCAGGTGACAGGTGCATGTTCACCTTATTCTGAAGCTGCTTTGGATGAGGTCGTGTGCCATCACTTTCCTGCACCTGTCCTTTTACAACTCTGTCGCACTTTGGAGAGGTTGCAGGGCACATTACAAGTGCAGGACAGGTCAAGGATAAGGAGTAGTAGCAGAGAGAGAGGTGGGGATGGGACCAGGACAGTGCCTTTCTGTGAAGTCCTTGGCCACACCATGGCTTTGGTGAGGTAGAACTCCTCCAGTCTCTGAGTGGTAGCAGCAGGAGAAAGAAGTCTAATCTAGATGCACCATTACCGGAGTAACATCTGTGGGGAGCCTGGATAAACCTGCTGGCTGTGAAATTGGTTACACGGGGGATTATCTGCCTGGGGAAGTGGTTGAAACTCTGACTGAATCACTTGGGTTAGATTCGAAGAGATTTGAGGATGGGCTCATGGCCTCTCCTGGGTTGGTCCCACCAAAGGAGACCCATAGGGCTGTTTCTGCCTGTCTCATGACGGTGAGGATCACTGGTGGCATCAAAAACAGGAGAAACCCACAGAGTAGATGCTGGAGTTGTGGGGTATCACAGCAGACAATTTGCCAGCAGGGAAACTGCCCAGGCTGTGGTAATTGTGCACATAAATGAGGCAGGCAGACATGTGCCCAGCTGCCAGATCAGCTCTCAGCAAACCTGCCCGGAGCAGGGCTGGGCCAGGCGCTTGGTATCGCTTGGCTGCCATGTGCTGGGGTGAGGGACTGGGACAGGAGAGCCCCCCTGCCCAGGGCCAGCAATGTGGGGAGCCAACAAGGACTGATGCTTTCACAGAGATCCTGTAGTAGCATTTATCAGACTCTTAATGAGACACCCTGGGGAAAGGGAGAGGGATAAATCGAGACAAGTGCTGAAAAATGCACGATATTAGGTGCCTGATGAGCTAGATCTAGTCAATAAGACAATTTGAACATTAGCTAGCTCGCCTCAGCCTGCTCGCAACATACCGACACATGCATGCATGGGGGTGTTTGCAGCCGCTCTCCTCCAGCTCGGCTCGCACAGAGAGCCCCCCCAGAGACCCCCTGCTGGGGCTGGCAGCGTGGGCATGGCCGCATGTAGGGTGCAGGCTGCCCTCCATCAACCTGCGGAACTGCCTGGCCCCATCTCAGCTGTCCCCTCCTGTATCTCACCCGATGGAGATCATCTCGAGGCAACTGCCTGGTGCAGGTTTCTGCAGTCCCTGTTCATTTTGTTCGTCTCTGTCAGGGACAAACCTTAAACTGTCTTCACCTGGCGTGGCTCAGTGAGCTGTGCCTCATGGCAGCGTGTCAGCCCTGGTCCTCAAGAGCTGGTGGGAACAGTGAGTTTTGGAGTGGAGTTTTGGATTTTAAGGGTAGGACCCACGTTCAGAACAGGTGGGGATGCCAGGCTGCCACACAGACGATGCTTGGAGTCAGGGGGCCAGGGCTAAGGGGTTGTTTTGGTTGACATTAGAGTTCCCAATAGGTTGGAAGGAGACCAGGATCCTGAGGCACGCAGGAGCCTCCAAAAGCCTTGCATGGTGCTGAAGTAGTGACATACCCATCACCAGGACCACTGGTGCCTCCATCTCGCTAGGGAGACCACAGGGCCAGCTCTAATCTATGCATCCAGAAAAAGGTTTATTCCCCATCAGCCCAGCTGGTGTCTGAGAAGCAGAGGAGGTGATGTCTGGAGAGTCACTGGGCTACCAGAGTGGGAAGGGCTGAACCCACCTCTCTCAGCGGGGATCCTCAGTGTGGGTGCAGAGCTACACTTGTGGGGTGCAGCAACTGTTCCTTGCTGGAGAGGGCAGATCTGTGGGCTGAGATGGGAGTGGGAGCAGCCAT